AGGGTCATGATGGGGAGTCGTGCTGGACTGGTGGTTCGCCTTTGAGAGAGAATACCCCACCTCGTCTCGTGTCACTGCATCGCCCATAGCTTCGTGCCTGTTTTCCTTAATCTCATAGACTACATTGTCTCTTGTGCTATTATCTAATGTTTTTTTTTGTGGTTAAACGCAGGGAGGTGCTAAGGAAGCGACAGAAGCTCTACCAGTCTTCGACATGGTAGACGACCTCGTCCGGGTGGTCTCAGACCTTCTGGGCAGGTCCGGCCCAAAGCACCAGCGCTTCATGGACCTCCAAGAGCTTTTCACCAAGACTAGCCTGGAAGTCCAGGGCATACATCAAGTCCGATGGCTGTCTCGGGGGATGCTATACATCGCATCCTTGCAGTGTGGCCTGCTGTGTTTTCCTCGCCACTTCGTACCGGTTCCATTTCTTCATGTATTTTCTTGCTGATGTGCTTGAGCCGTTGAACATCCTGAACAAGACCTTCCAGTAGCGCCAGGTAAGGGTTGTGTAAGTTTTTGCTTGCCACGGTATGTATTTCTTGTGGTTAGCACGTTATTAAACTGACATTGGAGTTTTTTCTTTTCCATGCTTGCACCTCGACCTTGTCTCTCTGCACGGTCAGGTCAAGCACACCACGTCACACATCGAGAGCCGATATGTCAACTGTGGGGACGACTTCGGCGGTGGCTTGAGCCACTGGCTTTCGCCGTTTATCGAGCGCTACGGCCCAGGAAAGGACCGCGAAGTGACTGTGGAGGGGGTCGACTCTGATGGTCGACCATCATCGTTCAAGTTCACGCTCCATAAAGATCCAGTTGAAGGCTACGAAGGACCTAGGCATCATGACGTGTGCGTTGACCTCTGCACCGACTTCGCCGAACGCATCGTGGCGAACCTGGAGAGGAGGCTGGGTGACTTGGATTCTCGGTCAGGTGTCCAACTGTTCCTGCCGAATGAGTGGCCGAAGGGCAAGCCGGAACGTCATGCACGATGCGTTGAGTGGCTGCAGTCGCTGGTGACGCTATTCAAGGCAGAAGAGGCTGAAGACATACTGCCAGGTGAAGTTACGTTTGCATTTTTCGTTTGCTACACTGCCATGCTATTGTTTCTCATGTGCCCTACTGCCATGCCAGCTCGTCCCCGAGTGCCACGGTCAACGTTTGACCCCGTCTTGCATTGTTTGCCTCCCAAACCTCTTGTGTTGTGGCCCTGCCAGGAATCAACAAGCGGCAGGCACACAAGGAGCTTCGGCTATTCTGCTCCGTCCGTGCCGCTGCACCAAAAGGAGAGAGGTCTTTCCACAATGGCCTCACCACGGTTTTGAAGACCCCTGACTGGCGGGAGAGTTACCCCAACCTTGTGCAGCTGTGGGTAGCCGTGGCGGTGATTCCCCTTAACACTGTGGAGAGCAAAAGGGGCTTCTTGCGACAAAACGTGATCAAGTCTTGGCTGCGGAGTGGCCTCAAAGATGCAAGGCTGGGCGACATGATGTGCATGTCTCTGATGCCGTACCAGCCTCAATACGACGAGGTGGTCGAGATCTGGAGAAGCTACAAGAAGAGGAAGCCATTTTCTAATGCCCCAATTTCCACCACAGGTGAAACCAGCAAGAAGGGGAAAGCAACAGCTATGGAAGTAGATGACCACAAGGATGTAGAAGCTTTAGGCTCTAGTGATAGTGAAGATTCCAGTGATGAGAATGAAGATGATGATGATGAGGATATGTTTTGAATCTCCTATAAGGTGCTCTTTTTAATGCAAAACTTATTGATTGCATGTTATCCAGGCTGTTTCAAACGGTACAGCCTTTTCCAAATAGTGACGCTGTTTGCTCGGCTTTTCTTCTGTTACACACACTGGAAAAGCTCCTCCTGCTGCGGCGGCTGCTGCTGCTGCTGCTCCTCCTCTTGCAGCGGCTGCTGCTGCGGCTCCTGCTGCTCCTGCTACAGCGGCTGCTGCTGCGGCTGCTGCTGCTCCAGCTGCCGTAGCTCCAGTTGCTGCCGCTCCAACGCTAGTCTCTCTCTCTCCAACTCCAGCTGCTCCTCACGTGCACGGCGACGGGTAGGGGTGTGGGGAAGGATTAGTCTCCGGGGTGGTGGTAGCCCCAAGACAGCCCTCCAAAGCACCAGTCGCACCACCCCCAGAGCCAGCACCACCAGAAGCAACGCAGTCAGTCCCAGGCTCTCCAGGTCCAGCAGAGGGCGCATCCGCACCCCAAGTTGTAGCACCCGCAGGGACAGCTCGACTAACACCAGCTCCCCGAAGACTAGAGTCTCCTGCAAACACGGGCTCAGCTCCAACTCCAGCACCCCCAGAACCAGGACCTCGCACAGGTACGCTCTCAGCTCCAACTCCAACTCCTCTAGAGCTAGCACCTCCAGGGTCCTCGACAAAACACCACCTCCCGTAGGGTCTGCAGTAGGCTGTGAGCAGGACTGGGGGGAAGGGGAGGGCACCTGAGGGGCTACCGAGGGGGGAGGGGTAGCGTGGGACACACCTGACGGGGCTGGACCAGGGGGGGGAGGCTGTACCGGGGGAGCAGGAGGGGGAGCGGAAGTCAGGAAGAGAGGGGGAGGAGGAACCGGGAGACCTCGACTGGGGTACCGGGTGTAGTAGGGGACGGACCCGTCGAAACAGATGTCGTGGGAGTAAAAAATCTGGTGAATAAGAGGGTGGTAAAAGGTGAAGTCAGAGGAGTCCTCTGGGAAACCAAGGAAGACACAGGGAAGGGCGCGAGGGGAGAGCTTGTCCGCGGAGGTGTCGCGAACAAGCGCCAAGCAGCCCCAGACACGAAAATGCGACTCAACACCAGGGGACCCGGTCCAAAGACTGGTCGGTGAAACCTCTGGCTGAGAAACACGTGGCCAGAGGTTCAGCTGGTGAGCGGCGTACCGAACCGCGTAGGGCCACAGAAAATGGGGGGCACGGGCGTGAGTCATGGAGGTGCGGGCGATCTCCATGACCAAGCCTATGCGGTGCTCAGCAACCCCATTCTGCTGTGGGGACTCTGGAAGCGTCCAGGACTGACGGATGCCCTGCTCGCGACAGAATCCAGCGAGAACGCCGGAGCGAAACTCACCCCCGCGGTCGGAGTGAAGACAGCTGACACGACGACCACGAGTGTCCGCAGTGGTAAGTAACCACCGGATCATCGTAAAAGTCACCTTGGACTTCTTCGCTAGGGGGAACACTGTGGTGTAGCGAGAGTAGTCGTCAACGACCACCAGAAAGAAACTCTCTCGCGGAGGGCAGCGACAGGGGTCAGAGGAAGCTGTTCCTGCTGCTGCTGCTGCTGCTGCTGCTGCTGCCTCTCTCGGGGGTGTCAACGGGAGTTGTGTGTTGGCCCCGTCCTCGCTTGGGCGGAGCCGACTTCGTGGTCGGGTGTAGGGGTGCAGCCGACCTGCAGCAGTGGGCGAGCTGGTCGACGAGGAAGTCGACCTGCACGGGTGCCACTGCATGGGCGCCGACTTCAGGGAGGTCGATCTGGGAAGTCGATCTGCGGAGGGCGTCGACTTGGTGACGCCAACTCGAGGCAGCCGACTTGGAGGGTCGGCTGACAGGACCGCTGGTCGACCTGGTGGTTGGTCGACCAGGCCTGCTGGTCGACTTGGTGGTTGGTTGATCAGGCGTGATGTCGACCTGGTGGTCGACCGAACATGGTGGTCGACGAAGGAGGGGCCGACGTCGACCTCGACAGAAGGATCAGGACGTCGAGTAGCAGGGCGTCAACTTGGTGACGCCGACTTCGGGTAGCCGACTTTGGGGTCGGCTGACAACTGTGCTTGTTGACGAGGAGCTGGTCGACCAGGAGTGACGTCGACCTGGAGCTGGTCGACCAAGAGTGTGGTCGACATGACAAGGTCGACTGAAAGTGGTCGTCGGCCTGGGTGGTCGACGGGCATGCGCAGGAGCAGCTGGTCGACGTGGTTGCCAGGTTGACCAGGTTTCTAGGATGACGAGATTCTGCGAAGGCATACGACGGTCGCCCAGGCGACGTTGGCGAGGACGACCTCGGTGGTGGTATCCCGAGGTCGACGTGGCTGATCAGAAGCAGTCGTCAGCACGAAGCTGACGTGGTGTGTGCGCTGTGCAGGTGACGAGGCACTGCACGCCAATCATCTGCGCGCACCTGCGAAGCAGGTGCGCTGCTGTCCTGCGGGAGCAACGTTGGCACGCCGTCAACTTGCGATGTTGGCACGCCGTCGACTTGCAGCATTGGCAAGCCGCGACTCTGCACTGTTGGAGCGAGGTCGACCAAGTCGTGCTGGCATGCGGTCGACCGTGCTGCGCTGGCAGTAGACTTGCTTGCATGCTAGCTCTGATGTAGTCTAGTCTTGCCAACTTCATTGTACCATTGTTGTCAACCTTTCCTAGTGAAACTCTTGCCAATTTTCCCTGTGAACCAACAAGTAGTGTGAGCCCTTGGAAACGACTAAGGAACGATGAACGCAGAGATCACACGAGCATCCGTGCCTAGCCCGTGGTCTAGCTCCCGTTGTAGTAGTTATCTCCGCATGGTGCGGTGAGCGTGGAGCGAACACGCGACTTACCTGTCAGTCAGGTCGACGTAGTGGTCACTCATTTAAGTTGCTCGTAGGCCGGCAGCCGTGCAGTCACTAGCGTGCGCGTAGGTGACACAGAGGTGATGGACACCCTGGAGGCACAGCTGGAGGATGCGAGGAGACGCCATGATGCCCAGGAGTATAGGGCGATACCCTGGGCGGTCGTCGAGGCTGGACTCCGCACCATGTGGGCGGCGAAGCATCCCCCTTCTCGACCGGCTTCTCCTCGACCGGTGACCAACGAGGGCGGCGTCGATGTGGGCGTCAACGCCGGTGGTGGCCAAGTCGGCAGCAGTGCGGGAGGCACGTCGAGGCAGCGAGGTGTGATTCACGCCGATGAAGTCGGCGGCGTTCAGGTGCGAGGGATGCGGTCGTCGACGGGTGCGGGCTCCTCGCAGGGTAACGTCGGAGGTCGACAAAGTGGATCTTAGCCGATGTCGGCGACCCAGGTGACAGCAGGCGGGATTGCACCGAGCTACGGCTACTTCAAATTTACGCCGGATAGGGTCTTGGTCACTCCCTTGCTGGTCGGTCGACCCGACATTCTCACCTGGAAGGAAGCCTTCAAGCCCCAGCTGGAGATAGCCGGGCTGATCAACTTTGCTCGTGGGAGCGTGAGTCGCCAGAGGACCCCGACTTGCGTGCGGAGTTTCGCGCCGTGCAGCTGCTGACCTTCACGGTCATATCGCGGTGCTGCTCGCCGGGCGTGCAAATCGCCCTGAAGTCGTGCAGGGAGCACCTCGACGCCGGCCACCGGGCGTGGCACTTCATCGAGTCGACTTACCAAGTCACCGACGACTTGTTCATCGCCCAGCTTGAGGGGCAGCTGACGCACCTGCGTATGGGCGACCAGGAGACGGCGACGGACTACTGCAACCGAGCTCGGCGAATTCTCGCCACCATCAGGATGGCCGGCGCGCAGTACTCGACGGCGTCGTACGTCACCCACGTCATGCAGGGACTCCCGAGCAGCTACAACCTGCTGAAGCGGTTGTCATTGGCGCCGAGCACGCGGGCAACACTCAACGAGGACACGTTGACCTCGTACATTCTGCAGGACGAGGCGATGCAGGAGGCCGAGCGGTCCCAGGAGCTCCTGGCGCAGGTGAACTACGTTGCCCCGGCGAAGCAAGGTGGTCGACCGGGGCAGCGCGGGCAGTCTGGTGGCGGTGGTAGTAGTGGCTAGAAGCCAGCCAAGGATGTTGACAAGAAGAAGTCGACCAAGGACAGCGGTCGAGGAGGAGGAAGTCGACGTCGGGAGTGCTGGCTGTGCGGCGACCCCGACCACCTCTCCTTCAAATGCCCCGACCGCACTGACTCAGACGACGATGACAAGGGATGCTGCTGGAGTTCTGGTAGCCGTCGTCCTCGTCGAGGAGGAAATAGGCAGCGCAAGGAGAAGCAGTCGACCACGTCGACCACGGCGAAGGACGCCGACTCCTCTGCTGGCGGCAAGGGGCGGGACGACAAGTCGGCGTCGTGCTCTCTGGTCGGCGTCGTGGAGCCGACCGTCTCGCTGGCACCGGAGGCCGGAGAGGACTTCCAGGCGGTGGCGGCAGCTGTGCAGGCGAATCAGGTGGTGGTTCTGCTCGACAGCGGCTCCTCGCACGACCAGATGGGGACGAAGGACACCTTCGTCGACTTGGGGCCGAGCGGCGACGTGAAGCACGTGCGCGGCTTCAATGGGGCGCTGCAGGACGTCCAGGGTCGCGGCACTGTCGCCCTGCAAGGGGAGGCCGGCATCCCCGACGTACTCTACGTTCCGGGCGTGCGGGCGAACCTGCTTTCGGCCGGCTAGCTGAAGGAGAACGGCGTAAAGCTGCAGGAGGACGGCGACTGGATGTTGCTCGTCTCGGCGGCGGGAGACGTCCTCGGTCGGGCGTCCTACACCGGGCGAGTCCTCTGCACCGACCTGCGTCCCTGCTCAACGAGGTCGACGTCGGCCACGACGGAGGTCGTGGCCCTACGGGCGATCGTCTCGGCGACGAAGTCGACGCCGACCCGACTGCACGCAAGGCTCGCGCACGTCGGCATGGACACCATCCGGAGCTCGGCGAAGCACGAGGTCGCCATTGGGCTGGACATTCAGTCGACGTCTGGCGCCGACTCGCCGTGTGTGTCGTGCGTCGTCGGGAAGCTGGCGAGGCACACCTTCCCCGACCAGGGCTCCGACGCCGACGACGTGCTGGCCGTCGTGCACATCGACCTGTGCGGGCCATTCCGCGTGGCTGCCAAGGACGGCAGCCTGTACTTCCTGCTGCTGAAGGACTGCAAGACCCGCTACGTGTGGGTGAGGCCGGTCGCCAAGAAGTCCGACGTGCTGCGGGAGTTCGAGCAGTGGCTGGTGATGGCGGAGCGACAGACCAAGAAGTCGGTGCTGATGCTACGTTCTGACCGGGGAGGGGAGTTCCTCGGAAAGGACTTCACCGCCCTCGTGGACGGCAAGGGGATCCTCCACGACCTGACCTGCCCCTACACCCCGCAGCAGAACGGCATGGCGGAGCGGGAGATGCGGACGGTGGTGGAGTCGGTGCGGACGATGCTGCTGCACATGGGCGTGCAGCACCACTGGTGGCACCTTGCTCTGCGGCAGGCCGTCTGGGTCCGCAACTGCCTTGAGAGGTCGGCGCTGCCGCCGGGGACGACGCCGTACCAGCTGCTCACCGGGAAGAAGCCCGACTTGTCGCTGGCACGCGTGTGGGGCTGCATGGCGCAGTTCCTCGTCCCCGAGCAGCAGCGTGGTGGGAAATTGAGGCCGAAGGCCCGGTGGGGCCTTCATCTCGGCGTGTCGGAGGAGAGCAAAGGCTGGGAGCTCCTCGACATCGCCGACAACCGGGTGGTCACCTCGTCGGACGTGGTGTTCTACGAGGACATGTCGCTGGAGGTGTGGAAGTCGGAGCACGGGCCGGTGTCAGGACGGACGCCGACAACCTCGCCGACCGACACCTCGACGGCGACGCTGCCTCTGCTCGCCGAGGTCGGTGAGCTTGCTGCTGAGGACGCCGAGGTCGTCCGTCCTCCTACCCCTGCCCCTCCCCTCGTGGCCGACCTGCGCGGGCTGACTCCGGTGTCGGCCTCCGGCGATGAGGGGAGTAGTGGGACGTCGCCTTCGGCGCCGGCCAAGAGCATCGTCGGTGGCCGACGTGACGAGCAGCAAGTCGACGTGGGAGTGAAGTCGACGTTGATAGGGGAGGAGCAGGTCGAGCAGGCAGCAGTGAAGCCGACCACGGTGCAGTCGGCAACCAGGCAGACCATAAGGGAGACGTCGGCTGGGACGCCGACCGAGGTGCAGCAGGACGACGAGGGCAGTGAGGCCGGTGACGATGGAGGTTAGCAGTCGGGCGCCGAGGAGTCCTCCGACAGTGACATGGTGGAGGTCCAGGCTGGACCACGGCGTACAGGCCGACTTCGGAGGCCTCCCGACTTCTTCGTCCCGGCTGCCTTCACCACGGTGTATGACGTGGTCGACGAGGACGACGACCTGCTGTACGACGACGCCGAGGAGGATGAAGACCTGCCGGAGCTCGACCCCGACATGCACGCCGACCCCGAGCACCGCTGGGACATCTCAACGATGACGGTGAAGGAGGCGCTGGCGAGCTGGAAGGGCCCGGCGGTAAAGTCCGCCATGGAGGAGGAGATCCGCAGCCTCATCGGCATGGGGACGTGGGAGCTGGTCGAACGCCCGCCGGGAGTGAACATCATGAAGAACCGGTGGGTGCTGACGACGAAGTACCGCATTGACGAGACTGTCGAGCGCGAGAAGGCGAGATTGGTCGTGAAGGGCTTCACGCAGGTGTATGGCGCCGACTACGACGAGACGTACGTGCCGGTGAGCAGCTACGTCACGCTGAGGATCTTCCTCAGCATCGTCGCCGTCCTCGACCTCAACCTGATGCAGCTCGACATGAAGAACGCCTTCTTGCAGAGCAAGCTCGACCGATTGCTGTACATGTACCAGCCGGACTACTTCAACGACGGGTCCGGCCGGGTGTGCAAGCTGCTAAAGAGCCTCTACGGGCTGAAGCAGTCGCCGCTGCTGTGGTACAAGGCTCTCAACGACGTGTTGGTCGGCGCCGGGTGGAAGAAGAGCCAAGTCGACGAGGCTCTGTACTTCAAGGTCGATGACGACAAGGTGACCTGCTGGGTGCTGGTCTACGTCGACGACCTGCTCGTCGCCAGCTGCAGTACCGAGATGCTGAAGGAGCTGAAGGAGCTACTGGAGTTCGCCTTCGAGCTGCGGGAGATCTCGCCGGTGCAGAAGTACCTTGGGCTGGAAATCGTTCGCGACAGGTCGGCGGGGAAGCTGTGGCTGCATCAGCAGGGCTACGCCGACAAGCTGCGTAGGCGCTTCCTCGACCAGGAGCAGACCGGGCGCACCCCGAAGACGCCGGTTTCGGTCGACGCCTATGTCGAGCTCACCTTCAATGACAAGGAGGCGCAGGAGCGCCAGGAGGAGGAGTACCGGCAGAAGGTCAGCTCGCTGCAGTTCGCGACGAAGACGACGAGGCCGGACATCGCCTTCGCCTGCAGCAAGCTGGGAAGCGGCCTCACGGTGAGGAGCGACCAACACTGGCGCGAGGTCGACCGCTGCCTCGCCTACCTCGCCAACACGCGTGACACCGCCCTGGAGTTCGGCGGTGGACCTGAGTCGCTGAAGCTGGTCGGCTACGTGGACGCCGACGACACCGGCGACAAGCAAAATCAGACGAGCACGGGCGTCTACGTCGTCTTCGGAGGGGCCGCAGTCTCCTGGTCGAGCCAGCGCATCAAGTGCGCGACGCTGTCATCGACCGAGTCGGAGTACGTGGCGGCCGTTGAAGCCGGCAAGGAGGGATGCCGCCTCCGCTTCCTTCTTGCAGAGTTCCGGCAGCTGGACGCCGGGAAGCCGACTGTCCTCCGGGTGGACAACAAGTCGGCCATCACAGTCGCCGAGGGCATGGGGTTGACGGGCAACCTCAAGCACATGGAGCGGCGACAGGCCTGGCTGCAGCATATGGTGAAGCGCGGGAAGTTTGCGTTGAGATACATCCCGACCACCGACCAGCCAGCCGACTTCCTGACGAAGGCGCTGCACTATCCGGCCTTCAACCGGTGCTCCGTCGCGATCGGCCAAGTGCGCCTGGCCGAAGTCGGCGACGGCGACAACGACGTGCAGCAGTAGGTGCCATGCCCTTTTGCATGGCTGGTGCGGTGGACGACGTGCTGTGTGTTGGGTGCACGTCGACGAGATTTTTTCCGAGAAGTACTGCCATCTGGGCTGGGGGCCCAAGCGTGAACGCGGCAGGGGAGTGTCAACGGGAGTTGTGTGTTGGCCCTGTCCTCGCTTGGGCGGAGCCGACTTCGTGGTCGGGTGTAGGGGTGCAGCCGACCTGCAGCAGTGGGCGAGCTGGTCGACGAGGAAGTCGACCTGCACGGGTGCCACTGCATGGGCGCCGACTTCAGGATGGCGCCGACTTCAGGGAGGTCGACTTGGGAAGTCGACCTGCGGAGGGCGTCGACTTGGTGACGCCAACTCGGGGCAGCCGACTTGGGTGGTCGGCTGACGGGACCGCTGGTCGACCTGGTGGTTGGTCGACCAGGCCTGCTGGTCGACTTGGTGGTTGGTTGATCAGGCGTGATGTCGACCTGGTGGTCGACCGAACATGGTGGTCGACGAAGGAGGGGCCGACGTCGACCTCGACAGAAGGATCAGGACGTTGAGTAGCAGGGGGCCAACTTGGTGACGCCGACTTCGGGTAGCCGACTTTGGGGTCGGCTGACAACTGTGCTGGTCGACGAGGAGCTGGTCGACCAGGAGTGACGTCGACCTGGAGCTGGTCGACCAAGAGTGTGGTCGACGTGACAAGGTCGACTGGAAGTGGTCGTCGGCCTTGGTGGTCGACGGGCACGCGCAGGAGCAGCTGGTCGACGTGGTTGCCAGGTTGACCAGGTTTCCAGGGTGACGAGGTTCTGCGAAGGCACGCGACGGTCGCTCAGGCGACGTTGGTGAGGACGACCTCGGTGGTGGTATCTTGAGGTCGATGTGGCTGATCAGGGTAAAAGACAGCGAAGCGTCCGCCGGAGCAGCACCTGGACTAGTACCTAAGCAAGTACCTACACTAGCAACTGACATAGGATCAACACTAGCACCTAAGCTAAAAACACGCGAGTAAACAGAGTCAGAAGCACTAGAGTCAACAACAGCATACATAGCATGAGGAGTTCCTAAGAGATCAACTAACTGAGAAGCAGACATGCCCCATAGAGCGGGACCGTGCAAGCAAACAAAGGGAAGCCAGTCAGAGGCAGGGCCGTCGACGCCGGAGGTTGCACGAAGAGTGCCACTGAGCTGAGCAAAGCACTGACCCGGTGGGTGGCGGCGGTCACAGCGGAGGCCGCTGCGAGTACCTGTCTGGATGAGGTAGGGGCAGGGAGGGTGGGCGTCACCACGCGACAGCTGACGCGGTCCTGACCCCTGCCCCGGAACCTACTGGTGCCCCTGCTGCTGCTGTGGCTGCTGCGAGAGGAGTGGCTGCTGCTGCTGCTGTCGCTGAGTCAGGTACCAAGCCGCCACTCCAGCACCTAGAGTTGGCAGTCCCGCAGGTGCCCGACTAACCCGAGCATCACCTCCACCAGCTGCAGCAGGGGAGTCACTAGACGCTGCACGAGGCGCTCCACCAACTCCTGCACTCCCGTCGCACGACTTCCAGGCTGTCAGGGTAGCGCGCTGACGAGCAAAACATTCTTTGTCCGCAGTGGGGTCAGCGCCTAAGTGTTCAGGATCAGGGGGTGCACGAAGGTGACCGGAAGCGTGCGGCCACAGGGACTTGTCAGCCTGAACCTAACTCTATAGGAGACGCTGCACACGCAGGAGCTTGACTGAAAACTCCAGCGGCCTACCCTCGGCGTCAAAGCGGAGGACTCTAGGCGTCGCCATAGCGGAAGCGGAGAGAAACTATAGGTGGAAATCGCCTAGAAGGCCGGAGCAGGGCGCGTGAAGCAGGGCGCTACGCGACGAGATGGGAGGGACGTGACGGAACGGGCAGGTGGGACGGGACGGGGCGGACAAGCGCTACGGGCGTCAGAGGATGGGACAAGACGAGCGCGGCGCGACACGGCAGGACGAGACGGGACGGGCGCGGCGCGGAGGGAAGGGCAGGCGCGATGAGCGTCGTGACTTTGTTGACTTGTCTTGTACTGTGATCTCTATATATATACATGCATGTTTGCTGTTGCTATGTTGTGATCACTTTACTGCTTGTGCTTTTATAACTCTGCATGTGAACTGGCCTTGTGGCCGCTTGCTTGTGCTCAGACTGTGTGGTGATCTTGAGATTTTATTTTGAGCTTTTTCTTTGCTTTGTTCTCTTGCTTGACTGGTCTTGTGATCGTTGCTTGTTCTTGTTATCCCCCGCTTTGCCTATGGGGGTGTGTCAAACTATGTTCGATATATGTATGCTGGGGTAGCCTCTACTGAGTACAACACTTTAGGGTTGCATCCTAGTACTTGTACTCATCCTTGCATCCTAGTCAACCACTCCTGCACGTTATTTCTGACATGCGCCTGAGCGTTGTCCCACGCTGTCATGGTGTGACGGTGTGCCGGATGAGATGACAATCGGCTCATCCGATTGCGCAAGTGCATTTGTCGTTGATTGCTGTCAGGCGGAGTCGCGTTCCGCCGTGAGCATTGTGATTTCGAGCGCCGATTCCTCAAGTTGGCGCACGAGTTCGTCGAAGCGCTCCTGCGTTTTTGTCACGAGGTTGAATTCGGCCATGGCGGGGGTGTCGGGCAAGCTCAGCGAGAGCCTCAGTCGTGGCCGAGTGTGCTTATGAGAGAGCACACGAGCAGCGGTGCTTGGACGCTGAGAGACGTCTACCCCCTCTAAAAATTGAGATAGTGGAGAAGCGAAGGTGTGGATGCGATCCGAGAAGAGATCGTAGGCTCTGAATACCAAGTGTTACGAGCGCAATCAAGCAAGCTAGCAAGAATTGCACTATCGAAGAAAAACAGTACATTGAGCGAAGGCATGAGTGAGAGTTATATAGTGAAAACTACAGTGGTAATGGTAACGAAGTGTGGGAGGTGCGCAACGGCCCAGTGACTGAGGTCGGGACCGGGGTTGGGGACTGTCGAGGCGGAGGCCCAGAGCGCGGGTTACCAGCCGAGCCATGAGGTTGGGTCGCAACAGGTACAGTGGCGGGATGGTGGGCTGGCGGGAATGGTTGTGTACGCGGTAAGCAGTGGTGCGACGTAAGGAAAAGGAATTTTCCTCACAGAATCCCTGATTTCAAGTTTCCATTTTGGCTTGCGCTCGAGACCGGTAAGGACGAAAAAACGGTCACCTTCGTGCTTCTGGATTTCCAGTTCTTTTTCATCCGATAGAAATCACGTTATTCAGATGTCCCCCTACTGTTCATAAGACGTTGCATCCCGCCTCCCTCATGGCGTGATGTTTACTGTAGACTCGCCACCCTCGACTAAGTCTGGTAACAGGGAAAAATTCTACACTGTGGTTGTTTCGTCCCCTCTCCAGATAGAGCTTGGACAGTCAGGATTGAATTTATGAAAAGTACATCCCAACTCCTTGTTTTCCAAAATCTTTCAAATTTAGCCCCAAGTTTACTCAAAAGTATAGTTTTATGGAATTTTGCCCATGTAAGGCCCAGATTATGTTTAAATCTGGCTCTGCGGGACAAACTTTTCGACACGTGTCCATTTTCGAACCAATTTTTTTTCGACGGAGCAAAAAACATAAAACCCCTAAAGGAACCAGTACACATTTTCGGGAGGGATCAACCCTAAACACGGTGACCCGCAAGGTGTTTAGGGTTGATCCCTCCCGCGAATGTGTCCTGGTTCCCTATATTTTTTCGCCCCCATAAAAGAAAAATCTAGTGCGAAAATGGACACGTGTCGAATATTTTGCCCTGCAGGACATGTTTTGAACATAATTTGGGCCTCGCTTGAACAAAATTCCAATGAGTTGTACCTTCAGAGTAAACTTGGGACTAAATTCGAAATTTTTGAAAACAAGAAGCTGTGATGTACTTTACCTTGAATTTAGGTGACCGTCCTTAAGGGACGTTCTTTGCCAGTGTCAAAGTTTGGGCCAGGCTGCTTGACACGAGGTGGAATAGACAGGCATGGGGCAAAATCGTTTTTCCGTGTCAGACCTTTCTGGGGAGCCTGACACCAAGTAAACTTGGCCCGAAGCTAGACACCGGCCAAGAACGTACAGTCGATGCTTACACTATCACAAAACATTTGCTCGTCACAATTAGAAATTTACTCACCCGCGAACATTTTTACCCGTAGGGTAACTAAATTGAGCATTATGATATTTTCGGGGTATAGTCACCAAAATGCAGAAGCCAACATCTACTGTGCATAAACAACAAAGAACACACGTGATCAGAATGTTGACAAGGTTACAAAAATCAACACCCACATTCCATTTTCTTTGCACTTTCATTTTACAGTCACAATTTTCCCCGTGACGACGAGGGCGAAAGTACAGGCGAGTAAGCAAAAAGCTAAAACTCGTTCCACGCACATGCGCCCGGCTACCAGGTGTTTTTGTAATGAGCATTGACTGTACCCTTAGGTTTCAGGAACACGTGTCGTGAGATACACCCTGCGCCTCACCGTCGTGGATTCGTGGATTCCGGAGTGGAAACTGGAAAAGCACGGTTGAAGGTGGTTGAATTATGTTTGGGTATTGTTCAATTAGGCAATCGAATAAGACAAGGTCAGGCAGCCAGATCCGTACACTTGAGTATAGCGAGAACATTGTGTAATCCTCTCAGACACTATGGCTGCCTGTTGCGCCGGAACCTACTCGCCTAGGAGAGCATTTCACATGTGGGCATGTCCTTTCCCACGTGCTCGACTGCCAATGCTGCCGTTCGTGTTGTCTCAACAGTCTTCAGAAGGGCTACAGTGTAGCGCCACATCGCAGTGCAGACTCAAACGGGCAGCCCGCATCGATGATGGTGACGCACTTTGCGGTCCTGCCAGGCAATCACAGGGTGCTTCCGAGAATGCTTCTTTGCAACCCCGCCAGGCAACCACGGATCCGGTCTCCGCCATTTCACGTCCTGAACTGCTTTCCGGAAACACCTAGGTGCAAAACGGACTCCTCAGTGAGCATTAGCTTCCGAAGCCCGAGTCGCGTTTGA